AACCCTAAAACCCTAAACCCTAAACCCTAAAATCCTGAAACCCTAAAACCCTAAAACCCTAAAACCCTAAAGCCTAAACCCTAAACCCTAAACCCTAAAACCCTAAACCCTAAAACCCTAAACCCGGACCCGACGTCCCTCCTCTGGAGCCTAAGCCCTTCAAGCAAGCGGCCAGCCAATTCCCGCTGCCATCTGCTCATCTGGCTCCGGAACCAAAAAGATGCACTTCCTTCGAGATGCAGGTTTTGTTGGTTAGGGCTTTTCGGGTTTAGGGCGTACAGGGCTTATGGGGCTTTGGGGTTTCGGGATTCCTCCTTCAGCTCTATCTTTCCGGGCTTCTGGTGCAGGGTCTTGGGTATTTGGCGCGGTCGAGGGTGTAATTAGAAGCTTTGTTGAGGCTCTTTATGGGCTTCGGTTCTAGAACTCGCCGCCAAAAAATCTACTACAACCCGCTGCAACGACATAGACATCCGAGAAGCAGCCGATGACGGCATCAAGCACAACCGGGGAAACCCGGAACAGCTACAAATCCTAAAGGCCGTATAACCATCACGAAAACCCTAATGGCGCTAAGCAAAAAAACCTATAAATTATAAACCCTCAAAGGCCCACAAAAAAGACCATAAAATTTGCAGCCCTAAAGCCACAAACCCGCAACAAATCCAGAGCTGAGGATCAACTCTGGTGGGCACTGTGGCGCCCTGAAGATGGCTTCCATGTCCTGCCAAGAGATGAAGCCCTTCAGTTGTAGGGTTTAGGGATTTCGGAATTTAGGGTTTTGGGTCTAGGGTCTAGGGTTTCGGATTTGGGGTTTGGGGTCTAGGGTTTCGGATTTATAGGGCTTAGGATGTAGGGTTTCGGAGTTTCGGGTTTAGGAACTGTTGGATTTGTTTGGGGGTTTTGGGGCTTCCATTTCCCGCGAAAACACCAGAACCGTGAAGCCTCAGACCTTGAAGCCTAAACCCTGAACCCCAAACCCCCAAACCCCCAAATGCCCGAAACCCTAACCTAAACCCTAAACCCTAAACCCTAAAACCCTAAACCCTAAAACCCTAAAACCCTAAACCCTAAACCCAAACCCCCAAATGCCCGAAACCAAGCAGTCCGTGGCTGTCAAATCGCCGAGCGCTTTGATCGCGCGACAGCCGCTGCTGCTGCGGACAAACGGTTCGGGTGCGATCCTCCGAGATGTGGTGGGTTTAAGGGATATAAGGGGCTTGGGTTCAGGGTTTAGGGTTTAGGGTTTAGGGTTTGGGTTCAGGCTTCAGGGTTTAGGGCTTGCGCTTGAAAGTTCAGGGTTTGAAGTCGAGGGTTCAGGGTTTAGGGTATAGACTTTAGGACGCAGTAGGGTTTGGTGTTCAGGCCCCCGGCGGAATAATTTGAGTTTAGATGTCGATTCCACTTCGTTCTTCTAGGCATCGGCCTTGTTACAAAACACGAGCCATACCCACAACCAACTGTGCGGTAGAGTATAGGTGTAGAACCCCTAAACCCTAAACCCTAAGCCCTAAACCCTAAACCCTAAGCCCTAAACCCTAAACCCTAAGCCCTAAACCCTAAACCCTAAGCCCTAAACCCTCATCGTATTGGAACCCTTGTCGTAACACGAAGAGAGACGGCCTCTGGGGCTTCTTTAAGGAGGTCACCAGGCTCTTAGGGCTTTCTGGGGTGTTGGAGCTGTTGTGGTGTTAAGGCAGAATTTGCCCCGGGATGTTGAGATGGGGTTTCGGAATTTGACGTCTTGGGTGTGCGTCGGGCCTTATGGTCTGGTACAAATAGAATTCGTAGCTCCCGAGTGCAGAGGTTCAGAGTGTTTGGTCTTTCGGATATAGGAAACCCTAAACCCTAAACCCAAGTATGGTTGAGCGTTTCGGGTTTCAGTCGAGTTTAGCGGTTCAGAGTTGCAGAACTCAAAGCTTGGAGCTTTGTGGAAGAAAGGTTTATGGAGACCTTTGGCCTTTGGGGGGTTCGCAGTCGCAAGCTGCGACATCTGAAAATGTGACGTCTCTTTGCGCTTTGGGGTTAAACCTTAAAGTGCCACCATACTGTAAAGCCCCCTACCCAAGCCCCATATAGCCCAAACTCACGACCTAAACACATAAACCATGCACCCTATTAAGTCTCAACAACAGAAACCCTAGACACACCAATAGACCCTATGAGCCCCAGAGGTCCTAGAAAGCCTTTATGTTCCAGAAGGCCTACAGCCCTCGAGTCCTGCAGAAGGCACGAAAACCCTAGCCCAAAAATCCTACAAGCCCTAGAAAATTCTCAGAACCTCAAACCCCCCAAAAAAAGGCCAAAAGCCCCATCAACCCCCAAAAAAGGCCAAAAGCCGCATCATTCCCCTTGGATTCCCCAAACCCTCAAGCGGAAGCTTCAGTCCTCACGAGGGCGAGCTCGGAGCGAATGGCGGCGACAGACTGAGCGTCGTGAAAGTTATGGAGACAGGTAATTTTTTGTACAGGTAATGTAGGGGCAGTAATAATAATTAGAATAGGGTTTGGGGGATATATTATAATATAAATGTAGTAAGGAACCCCCACCTTAATATGGGTACTTAGTAAGGGCCGCCATATGCGCTTCGTGCTTGGGGTGTCGTAGGGCTTGGGCTTTCAGAGCGCGAGGGCTTGTAGGGCTAGGTGCCCTCTATCCCCGCAAACTGGAGTTCAGGGCTTAAGGATATCTTCAAAAAATAGTTCAAGTGACGAGCGTCGGTCGTCCCCAACTCATATCAATCGCGCTCCGGTTGAAGGGTTCGGTGTTCAGGAGTCGTCATTACATCCAGACACTCGACGATGCAGCCGCTGTCGTGAGCATTATATGAATGATACCCCGTCGTCTCTACGTAGGTATCACGTAGTTAAACAGCCTAAAACCACTAACCTCGCCCAGCGCCCCCTCACTCACACGGACATGCATGAACGCACAACGCACCGTATGTTGCAAGTAGGACCCTCTGAAAGCCACGGACCATATGCGATGCTTGGCACAAGCTGTACCGCACGCTGGGCTTTAGGTTAACGCTACTAGCTGTTGCCGGCTCCTTTAAACAAGCCTTATAAAATACACCCCAAAGTCCCCAAAGACTAAACCCTCAACACCCCAACCCCCGGGTGATCCGAAAAGCTCTGCCTTCATCACTGCCTCACGGCTGCCGCCCCAAGTGTCGCAAAGGATCTGCACCAAAGCCTCGCGCTCTCCCCACGGCGTATCGGATTGGTGGAGTAGAATTGACTGGTTCGAGGGGTCAATATGATATGGATGCCTTACAGAAGCCATGTTAGGGATTGATTGCCAAGGCGGATGATGTTACGTAGTATCCAGTGCAGCAGAGTAGCACCTAGATAGCCAAGCAGATGGATCCGCACAAGATATGTGTGCGTGTGCCTTTGTATGTGTATATATATATATAT